ACGCACACACAAGCCTTATGGACACTAGTTTTCATTGCCTTGATTTCCTTGTGTGCTCCACAATGCCCTAGCCCAGTGTTTACACGTATGTGTTCAGTTTGTATTTACAGGATTGCCAGGACTAAAGAGCATATTCATGAAACACAAACACATGTAATGAGCATCTGTGCCCGTTTGAATAAACAACAAGAACTGGACATACACCACATTTCCCTTTTTCCTTGGCTATTGGGAAACCCAACGCAAAATTAATTTCTCAGTTGTAGCACTGTCTTTAGCATAGATTGATATTTTTTACCTTAGCTGTATGGTTTTATTGTCTCTATGCTTTTCACCTCAAATCCTTTTTGGAAGTAGGCAGAATATGGAAAATAAAAATAATGAAAATTAGAGCCCATGCTCTCTCCTTGGGTTGGAGGGTGAGGAACACCCACATGCCTCCCCGTTACACACCCCACTTTGGGGATCCCGTGGGTTTCCACTATTTTTCTACACAAACATACTTTGTGGAATGTGTGTAGAATCTGACAATCTCTACAACTTTCCTGGCCACACATCAGAAGAGAACCCATAGAGCTGAAGCTCAGAGAGGTTAAGTTATCTGCCTCCGAGTGGGTGGGAGTAAAGAACGTCCTTGTCGCGCACAGGCAAGTGCTAACCACACATCCGGGGCGTAGGGTTTCGTGCAGGCAGGGCAGGGAGGCTCAGAAGCCAATTCCGAACCTCTTACTAGTGACCACCTCTCTTTTTCTCAGGGATGCCCTGGGTTTACATTAATATCGCTACATATTGCCCTCCCCTCCTCCCGCCCAATTGTACCTCTTCGGCTCCAGTGACAGAGTATGCGTGACTCTTAACCAGCTTCTGGCTGGTGATGGCCTCTGCTTCGGCTGCACAGGAGACCTGGGTCAGGGAGAAAGTCTGTTTAGAGTGTCTGGCCCTGACCTAATTGGGGCCGGCCCTGCAACGTTTCCAAGAACACGCTACACATCCACAGGGCCCAGTGCGGGACTGGGGGTGCAGACGCAGCAGTGAGCCTCAGATAAGTACAGCGTCTCCACCCAACCCTCTTGAATTAGGCCTGCGGTTCCAGGCAGGTGCTGTGGGGCTGCCAAGCCTGGAATATGACTCGCCAGCCTCCAGGAGTGACCCCACGCTGCCTGAAGAAGACAGCTCTGGACAAGCCTGGCTCTGCGGTGCTTCACTGAGTGAGCTTCCCAGTCGTCCTTCCTCTTTCACCAGCAACCTCTCCCCTGGGCCTCATATCACCTCTCCACCAAAAACACACGTCTCCTGCTGGGGTTTTATAGAGAGGAGAAAGGGAGAATATTCTTGCTTTGTCGTTCACATATCTGAGATGACCAAGTACAGGCAAAAGAGGAAGGAAAGCAGCCAGAGGGACAGGTAAAAACAGGACCGTCAGGGCTGGTGGACTCCAGCCTCTGGTTTCCACCACCACCTTGGAACTCCATACAGCCAACCCTCCAACTAAGCTGTGGTTTCAGAACCTCTGGCCTTTTCTTCAGGGATCTCCGAGTCCATCAAGTATTGTCAGTCATATTTGTTTTCAAAAACCCCAAGATTATTTAGCAAAAAAGTAAGGCCTAGGATCCCGGGCAATTCCAGCAGTACTAAATGGGCTCTAACAGTTAGGGGGAAATTGGGGCTCCTATAAAGCAACTAATCCTAGTT